AGGGGTCCAAGATTATCTTCTGTGTCTGTGTTAATTGGTTTCCCTTTTCTTTGTTGAAGAGGGTCTGTGCAATCCTTCTGCCTAGTCCGCCATCTTGCCGTGTGTGTTGTTTTAAGTAGCTAAATTTTGGGGCAATTTATGCAGAAACAGATAATACAGCAACGTTCTGGTTACCTAGTGCTGCTCTGACAAGAATCTGCCACAAATGGGATGGCTTGAAGAAACAGGAGTTTATTCTCTTACAGTTTGGAGACTTTAAGTCCGAGTTCAAGGTCCCAGGCTCTAGGTGCTGAGTGAAAGCCCCTCAACCTTGGGCTTCAGCTCTGCCTCCTTCCTGCTCACGGCCCACTGGAGCTAGAGGCTTTTCTTCACTCCACTGCTGGGTGCTGAGGCTGATAAGCCCAAGGTTGACAAGTACAAAGGCACAGTCCTGATGTTACTAAACCACACGGCAGACCATTAATTCAAGTGCATCCAAAGTCCCCAGGTCAGCAGAGGATGGCAGGCTGCTGAACAATGACATGGCTTCATACTGGGTTCAAGCGTGCCATAAGCTAGAGACATTCCCAAAGCTGTTTCTTATATATGGGAAGCAGCCCACATACCCAAAGCAGCTACTCAGGTGCTCCAATAGATTCCACCATGGGGAATAACTACATTCAGCTGCCCAGCCACTCAACCACTCAACCAGGCCTAGCCAAGTTGACATACAAACTTAACCACACCACAAGCGCCCAAGCCCAAAATCCAAGGAATAGAAAGGATTAAGGAAAAGAACATTTTTATTGAACTTTCTTCCCACTCTAACCACACTCTTTCCCATTTTCTCAATTAACAGGGCCATAATTTACCCTGTATCCCAAGTGAGAAACCTGGAAGTCAGAATTGGCTCTCCCTATCAACTACAACACCACATTGTTATTTTTTTCCTATTACATATCACTTTAAGGAGAGCTGGTGGTGCACTGGTTAAGGCATTTGGCTGCTAACCAAAAAGTCAGTGGTTTGAACTCACCAGCTGTTCTGCAGAAGAAAGATGGGATCATCTACTTCCGTAAAGATTTACAACCTTGGAATCCCAAAGGGGGTGGCTATGAACCAGAAGTGACTCAACAGTATTGAGTTTTTGTTTTTACTTATCACTTTAGCCCACCCCAAGGCAGTATCACTACGGAAGTAGATTGCCCAATCTTCCTTCTGAGGAGTGACCGGTGGGTTTGAACTGCCAGCCTTCTGGTTAGTAGTCAAATGGCTTACGCATTATGCTACTAGAGCTTCTATACCTACACTAACTGCTTTAATCCAGGGCCTTACTCTTTTCAATTACTACACAGTGCAGTTTTCCACCTTTTTTCCCTCCCTACTCTATCTTTTCCAGCTGCATTCCACTCTCTAGACTAATGCTAATAAGCTTTTTCAAATACATGTATGATCATTTTATTAAGATCTATTACTGGTTGCACACTGCTCAGAACAAGATTCACCTGTCTTCATATGGCATGTCTGTCCCTGCCCTGTAGCCTTCTCTCTCAACTCTCAAACCCACACCCTGCAGTCTAGCCATCTTTCAGTCTTTACACAGGCTGCTCTTTTTCTTTGTGGAACACCTTTCACTCTTCCCTTGTAACTTCTGCTCATTTTTAAGTGACTCAGCTTAAAGCTTTATTTCTGAAAACTTTAACTATCAGGCTTGGGTTAGATGTGTTTGTTGTTACTTCATCAGAGCACTTAATGCATAGACTGGTACTGTTAATTTTCAAGCATATGTCCTCTCCTAAAATGAGCTTCTAAAAAAAAAAAAAAATCCTTGTTATCTACATATTGATTTATTCATCAGTCTAACTTATAGCTACTGAGCAATCACATAACAAGTACTATGTTAGGTGTTTGCTATATAATAATGAACAAAGCTAATATGCTCCTGTCCTTGTGGAGCTTATAGTCCATTCAAGAAGCCAGATATTAAGTAAATAAATATTGTGATATGTGAAAAAAGAATTTTATGAAAGTGTAACAATGGGGACCTACTTCAGATCGCATGGCATACAACTGAATACAAATGCTTACTGACTTAAACTGTTTTCAAAGAGGTATGTGTAAATTTTATCCTCATCATTGAAGTATAAGTGGGTCAGGTTCACCACATCCTTGCCAACACAGGGTCTCATCATTTTTTTTTTAAAACATCTTTGCTCATATTTTCAATGTTACTTGCTTGCTTATGTATTATCATAACTAAAAATAAAAAAAAAATAATACAGGACATGATCAAGTTTGATTAAGCACAAATAGAAAACTAAGACTACATTTATATATATTACAGTTACTCAAATACAAGGCTAAGAAAATTTCAAACTAATCATTTATAAGAGCACACATTTTACTACATAAAAAAATAATATTAAAAAAATGAAAGCTAAGTCTTTCTGGTATTCAGAAGTCTGAAGCGATCATTGTTCAGCTGTTTAAAAAGAAAATTCCAAGGGATTTGCTGCTTCTCCCTTGGCTCAATGCCAAATGACTCAGGACTAAAATATTTCTGGGATATAGGGTATTTAACTGAAATAGTTTTTTAAAAACAGATTGAATCTGCTAAAAAAAAACCTCACAAACCTTAATCCTGTAAAAAAGCAATGACAGAATGAGGAACTGATATATAAAATATATAAAATAATTTTGCTATTACTGTTTACATAATTTAAAAAATTTTGTAACAGACAAAAAAAATCAAAACAAAACAAAACTTGGTCATCGAAGATACAAATGCCCAACTGTTATAGTAGTTGAAAGTTTTTAAAGTCCTCATTTCTTGTATCAATATAAAACACACTACAAAAAAATTCTAAAAACAAGAAGATCAGGTAGGGGTAGGTGAATGTGAATATACCTATAACCACACATACATTTGGCAGACAATATTCCCACATACGTGTAAGTATGTGGTATAAAAATGTCCAGATACATGATAGAGCTAACAGAGGACAAAATTAAGATAACTTCTTAGCTACAGTGAGGCACCTGGAAGGAGTGAGTCCTGCAGGCTGGAGACTATGATACCAAAAAATAAAGTAACATAAAAAATAACCCCAAACTCACTGCCATCGTGTTGACAGTATCTCTACAGAAGCAGATTGCCCAATCTTCCTTCCAAGGAATGGCTGGTGGGTTTGAAGCGCCAGTTGAACATCAAGCTCAATTGGCACAACAATTACAACAAGTATACAAAAAGGGATTTTTCTGAAAATCATACTTATGTCTTTGCTTTCCCTAGTATATTTCAACACTGCTGCGGTTTGTGCCAAGAGATAGAGGCACTCGTTACCAAACCTGTTACACCACATTTTTTTTTAAACTGATGGTTGCACAAGAAAATATAACTTGTGACTTTTCAGGGGCAGGGGTTTTTATATTTATTTTTGGCTTCTGCAACATAATTCTGCCAAAATTTTTAAGTTACTAACTTTATTAAACTGCAACAATCCTCATTTTAAAGTAGTATATAAAAACTGTCACAATGGGTCAGAGACAGGGTTACACTGTTCAAAATGACCTCTGACAGTGGCAAGATTTAACCCTTTAAGCCAATCTCAATAGAATGGAGACATAAATTCTTAACATAATATATAATGATAAATGTTGTTCTTGAAAAAAGCAGATTTGTATCCTATTTACAATTTTTAGAAAAGAGCTAGTATAAAAATATTTTTCTTCCTTCATTTATTCCCCTGTCATGATAATGTTAAAACACATTTAGATTTTCTTCAAACATAAGAGTTAATAGCATAACATTCTGTTTTAGTTCACATGGCCAACATATTTATTTTTTCAAGGCACTCTAGGAACTATCAAGGTCACTAAAATAAAAATTTTCTTCTTGCCTTCTGCTCTTATAGGCATATTTCCCTTCCAACTTCTCTAAATTTAACATTGTTATAACTGTTTTCTCTGGAATTTTATTTTCAATGTTATAGCCCTTAAGTTATTTTTCTTTTATTTGGAGCCACTCCTTCATTTTCAACTTGCTGAGCAGGCAAGCAGCTGCTTTTGGTTTCCATGGAAACTGGATTCCTGCGGCTTCGTGTAGGCATTCTTGTTCCACCAACCTAAGAGAGGCAGTGAGTGAGAAGAGAGGTGATGCCAAGAACAGAATAGCTTAACATATTTACAATGTACCTATGTACAGTCAAACTGGTGTTATTTACACACATACTAATCACTTTGTAAATGATCCTTAATGTATTTTAATCCCTAGCCACTTGACTGTTTCTGAACAAGTTTTACTGACAGTTTCGAAGTACTAAACTTATAAGTAACAATCAGAGAAGGAGATAGAAGACTAGGGCAGTATGCAGAGAAGTGAAAGGGGGAAAATATTCTCCATGTTATATTAGGAGGAGGCTGAAATGTTAAATTATAAAATGAGAGAAAAATAGGCCTTCTGGGCAATGTGTGTGTCTACAATAATGAAGATAGGAGCTGGCAAAAATAAGAAATGAGAAATATGAAAGGAGGGAAAGGAAATCTAAGAAAGACATCAGAGGAGGTGAAAAAGTAACATGGACAAGGAAACAGAAACAAGAAAGCAAGAAGGAAAAGAAAATGGAGAAAGGCACAAAGATTAGTGAAAGCAGGAGCCTAAAAAAGAAGGAAAAGAGAATAAACATGAAAGAAAAGCACATAAAGAGAACTTAAGTAGAAAAGAAAAAAAATAAGAGGGTGAAGAGAAGAGAAAGAAAAAAGGGGAAAAATTATAACATAAGTAAAGGCTAGGAAAAGGGAAAGAAGTGGAAGAGGTAGTGTGAAGGTAAAACTTGGGGTGCTGCTTCTCCCTCACGTCCATTCCTCAGCACAGGTTGCTGTGCATGATGTCAGGGACCAAGAAGGTCAATTCCCAGGACACGGCTCTTGAAAATGTTGTCACCTCCTTGGCCACTGAGAAAGCATAAAATTCTTTAACAGGGTAATGAAGGGTCGGCCTTGGAGAGAAGCAGCAAAGTAGTACAGCCTGAAACCACTTCTCCAGAACTTGCCTATCTCTGCCTCTAGTGTTTTAAGCCACCTTACACCCTTTTCTGTTTCTCTACATCATGTCCATGGAATTCCAGGCCTGGACATGACAGATAGGTGATACTGTAACTCCACACTCATATTCTTGTTGTTACTTGCCGCCCAGTCAATTCTGACTCATGGCGATCCCATGTGTGCAGATAACTGCTCCGAGGGTTTTCAAGGCTGTGACCTTTCAGAAGCTAATTGCCAGGCCTGCTTTCAGAGGCTATGCTGGGTTGGTTCAAACTGCCAGCATCTAACTTTTTGGCTAAGAGTCGAGTGCTTAACCATTTGTGCCACCAGGGACTCCACTCACATTCTTAGCCCAATAGAAATAGTACTGGCATTGCTCTAGGGGTCCAGTGGCTCACAAAGAATGGACCAGGCTCCAGCTTCCCTCACCTAGTATCTTCTCTCTGTTCAGGGGCATTTTTTTTGGTGGTGGTGGTGGGGCTTTACAATTTGATGCATAGAAAGAACAAATCTGAGTTGGGTTTTGAGTCTGTTAGTCTATCTCAATCTTTTTAACATACTGATTAGAAAACTGCTATGATTTTTAAATAACCTGTGCTACTCTCTACTCAACTGATAAATGTAAGTCAATGGTATTTCCCATAAATGTATCAGGGCAACACTAATTGTGTCTATTGAGGACAGTGGTGGTCAGTCGTAGAATTCTTGTCTTCCATGCTAGAGACCTGAGTTCAAGTCCCAGCCAATGCACATCAAGCACAGCTACCACTCATCTGTCAGAGGAGGCTTATGTGTTGCTATGATGCTGAACAGGTTTCAGTGGAGCTTTCTGACTAAGACAGACTAGGAACAAAATCTTGATGATCTACTTCTTCAAAAATGAGCCAATGGAAACCCTATGGTCTGACACTGTTGTACAAGGAGTTGCCATGAGTCTGTTTAACTCGATGGCAGCTAACAGCAACAGAGTGACAACTGTATCTAATATATACTCGAGGGAAGCATACATTTTGAAAGCTTCCATTGTGAGATCATATATACCTGTGAGAAGTTGTGGAAGGAGAAAAGGGGTAGGTATGAAGCTGATATAAAAGGACTAGAAGTGGAAGAAATCAGGAGCAGTACATGAATCAAATGGGAACCTCCAATATAAGCTTTGTTCAATGCAACTAGGAGGGAGATACAGGTTATACTGTGGTGTTCTTCAGGGTTAGTACCTAAGGCCCTATATAAAGACGAGATCTGAGTTCAACTTGACTAGGGCCTAAGTGGGAGTTCTGGTGGCATAGTGCCTAAGTCATCTGACTTAATCAGGAGGCTGGTGGTTCAAACCCACCAGCCACTCCTCATAAGGAAGACTGGGCAACCTACTTCCGTAGGATACCGCCTTGGAAACCCAAGGAGGGGTCGCTATGAGTCGGGATCGACTTGACGGGGATGTGTGTGGATTTGCAGATTGCCCTTTTCTCACCATGCATTCCCCACCACCATGAAGTCTGAGGGGTTTGGGGTGGTGGCGGTCAGGTACTGCCCGCTGCTTTCTGGCATCCACCCTGGGCAGGGGCCACGCTTGTCTGTCCACTGCTTGCCCGGGGACGAGACCCTGCTCTTCCTCTGTCCACCCTGGCCTGCAGCCCCACATGCCTCCCTTCCCTCTTTCTCCCTCTTGCCTCCACCAACTGATCTCCCTGGCACCTATGGGACCTTGCCCAGCTTCCCCTTGCCTGCCAGCAACCTTGTATAATGCCACTGTTGTCCCTTGTCCCACACCACCCCTCATTCCACGGCGGGACTGATATGTTGCTGGGACCTCCGGTATACTGTTTGGGGTGGCTTGCAAAGGGCGCCCCAGGCCTGGCCACTGCATGGGGCCTGAAGCGTTGGAGGCACCACCTGGGAATTTTTTCAAACTTATTTTAAATGAGAAATGTTGGATAACAAGACAGTCGATAAGTGAGGAGTAGGTGTATAAGGATATGACTGACTTCTTTTTTTAAAAAACACCTTGTGAAAATATAATATAATACCTTTTTCACTTTCACTTAAAGTTGTTGAATGCCAAGGTATTAAACTTTTCATTTTCCCTAGAAAGGAATAAGCCATCCACAGATGGAATTATACGTTTGTGGGTGGGAGACTATAATCAGAATTTCTAAATTTAAAAGAAATTATTCTCCTAGAAAGAACATAAATCTTTCAAAAAGAGTTCTTCAATTATTATTTTTAAGTTATAGTGAAGAAAATTTTACCTTAGAAGGTTATAAAAATTACTACTTACATTAAAGTTAAATTGGAAATAATCAGCCATAATTGTAGATAAAGTAGTTTAAAATGCTAACAACTAACTCTCCCCCGATTCTCTCACTCATTCTAATCAGTTAACCATATTTATACTTTTCTTGGAATGTGGAAGTTGTCATTTCTAAAAGGATCCCCCAAAATAGCAGCATTATGGTAGATAGCTGAGAAACACATAAACAACTTCATTGTAAATTATAAAAACAACAAAAAAAACCCATACAATTCTGTATTTCAGCTATTTCTCAAGAGGCCTTGAGGACATTTGTAGGTTAATTTAGGATAATATAGAAAGAAAAAAACAACAGAATATCCATAGGACACACAAGCAGCAGATGCTCTACGGCAATCACACGGAAAAAATGATAAAACTCAGGGAATAATGGGACTCAAAAAAGTTTTTTAACAGGGAAGGAAAATACACTGGGTTTTTGTTTCCTAGCCCTGGCTCTACAAAAATTTCAGGTAATGAAAGTCATTCAATTGTTATTTCTGGTAAGTATTCTATAGAGAGAAAAGCATTAATTATAACTCTAATTAAACATATAAATATTTTGAGTTATATATACTTAGCAAAAAACAATTTAGTTTTTTAGTTTAGATGCACTTTTAATAAAGTGCTCCATTCACTAATTATTTACATTTGTTTTTGTATCTTTCCATATCCTACTTATCAATTTTAGTTGTATGTTTTTTTCCACAAATTGCCTCATATATGAAACAGGGTATACTTAAAATTACAAAAACTATCTTTGCTTTTAATAAAAGCACAGGGGTTTAACTTTGTTGATACACTGCCCATGCCCCCACCAAGCAAGCCAACCGAATTTTCTTTAGATGAGTTAAAAACCTTATACAAATAGAAGGTTCCACTGACATAAAGACCAGACTTGGTAGAGCATATAAGTTTATCTAAACTTTCTATGGACAGAATTTTTAGAATGCTGCTGTGATTAATATGCCAAATGTGGATATAACACTGAAATACTGTATAATCAGTGAAATGGATTCATTATAAATATCCTCATGGAAAATTTCATTTACAAAAACAAAAACAAAAAATCTCACCTTTTGTTGTGCTGTGGGGCCTAGTGATTTAGGTGGAAACGTACAAGGTATTCTTCCATGATGGATATGATATGGTAATAAGAGACTGGGATCTAATGGGACCCAGGGAACTGAGAGACTAGAAGGTACAGCAGGCAAACCACAGTGTGTTTTATGCAAATTGTATGCTGTCCTAGTAACTTTTCCATCAGAGGTCTTGTAGATCAGGAGTGAAGAATCTTCTGCTGCATGAGACAACAAGTAGGAACCCTCCTGCAAGCTAAAGCCAAACAATGAAACTCAGCTTATCAGCTCATGGTACCAATTTCAACAGCACTTTTTTAATGATGACCTGCTAGTAAAATTGAAAGCAATGATGGGAAATCGAACACTACATTTAATGATACTTTTATGATCAAACAAGATTTCAGAAATTGTTTGAACTATTTTCATGCCTTTTAGGCAACCAATTTTTAATTCTTACAAAGTTCAGAAAATCTGATTATTTTCTTTTAACTGCTTTGAGTCAGTTTGTAAGATGAGTTTTCAATAATTCAAAACCTGGAAATAAGTGGCAGAAATAGTCACTGGGATAATTATAGAATAATATGAGGCACTATGAGGATGATCATAGTAACAACAGGAGCTAACAGTATTAAATGCTTATTATGAACTATACACTGCTTTAGTGCTTCATGTGCCTTATCTCATTAGATTTTCTTCATAACAACCTTACAAGGCTAGCATTATTAACCCATTATTAGATAGGAAGAAACAGAATTTAGAGATATTAAGCAATTTTCCCAAAATACTAAAGTACAAGACTTAGATTTAAACCCAGACAGTCAAATGCCACAGGCAGTACCCTTAATCATGATCCTTGACTGTCACAATAACCTTAGTTATGTAGAACATCAAATTTTATATTTTTCCTTCTTCTTTAGAAAGCTTTAAGCTCAGCTCACTGCCATAGAGTCGATCTCGACTCACAGCGACCCCTCCTTGGGTTTCCTAGGTAATATCTCTATGGAAGTAGATTGCCCAGTCTTCCTTCTGAGGAGTGGCTGGTGGGTTTGAACCGCCAGACTTCTGGTTAGCAGTCAAATGCCTTAGGCACTTTAAGGGATTCAATAAATAATCATAAAGAGCTAAATGGTATGATTAATATGCTGTGCTTTTTTGGAATTATAATAGAAGTGCTAAGGAGAACATTAGTTCTTTCTCACAATACATCATTAAAAATAAAGATTAATCATAATGTGTTATGTGGATCTGCCTACAAGCCAAGTAAGTTATGTTTTCATTTAATTTTTTAAACAGAAAAGTGATAGGTGTTCACAAAAGAGGTCCATAGAATTATACTTATCCTGTGGGGAATTGCCCACCCCCTCTAAATAATAACTTTCATACTGCATTATAAGAAAATGTACAATAACTGATTTGGTAGTAGAAACAAATAACTTTTCAATGAAAATTATGTATCTTAACTACCTTCACTAAAAATGAATAAAGCTTTGGTTTACAGAGGAGTACATTTTATTCATTGAGAATAATGAGACACACTAAAAAGAAGGGTTACATCCCATACAAATGCAAAGTTCATGGATGGATACAACTATGGTGGGCAGAAGAATGGCCTCCCAAAGAAGTCTATGTGCTAAACCTTAGAACATGGAGGGGGAAGGGAAGTAGGATTGCCCAACCTTCCTTCCGAGGAGTGGCTGGTGGGTTTGAACCGCCAGCCTTCTGGTTAAAGGTCAAGTGCCTTAGGCACTATGCTACCAGAGCTCCCATATATATATATATATATATATATATATAAAACACGATAAAGAGGAATTAAGTTAGCAGATGGAAAGATGGAATTAAGCTGGTGAATCAGCTGACCTTAAAATGGGAAGATTATCTGAGTGGGCCCAATATAATCAGAGGGCTATTAAATATGGAAATATGGACTGTGAAAGAGATCGGAGTGATGTGATGTGAGAAGGACTCAATTTGTCTTTGCAGTTTTGAAGATGGAAGAAGAGGGCAATGAGCCAAGGAATGCAAGTGGCCCCTAAGAGCTGGAAAAGGCAAGGAAACAGATCCCATGCAAGCCTACAGAAAGGAATTCAGTTCCGTCAACACCTTGGTTTTAGCTTAATGAGACCTGTATTAGAACCTAAAACTATGAATTTGTATTGCTTTACTAAATTTGTATTAATTTGATATAGCAGCAATGGAAAATATTCAAACTAGGATAATAATAACATTTCAAAGACATCTGGTAAATTTCATGTATAAGCATTGTGCTTCACAGGAAGAACAGAATATGTAATATAAAATTCTGTCACAGAATCACAGAACTGACAAAACCCAAACCAAACCCATTGCCATCAAGTTGATTCTGACTCATAGCAACCCTTCAGGACAGACTACCTGGTAGGGTTTCTAAGGCTGTAACTCTTTAAGAAAAAGAAACTGCTTCATCTTTCTCCTGCAGATCCTTGACTGCCGCAGAGTGGCTAGTGGGTTCAAACTGCTAATCTTTTGGTCAGTAGCTGAACACTTTAAACACTATGCAACCAGACCTACCTTCAGAACTGACAAGGACCTGGTAAATTAATGAGCTCAGCATCATTGTTTTACAAATGAGGAAACATTCAGTTGCAAAGTAAGTTAAATGGGACAGTTAGACTAGAACTTTGACAGTCTGAGGCTTTTGTATTGCTTTCTATTTTATCTTTTGGTAAGGGGATAACAGAAAGAATGCAAAAGTTCATACAACAAAACAGTTTGATAAATACAGAAAATTCATATTCTAAGATGTGCCATGAACCTAATGTTTTTTGACCACTAGCTCTATATTGGGAGCTCTGGTGGCGCAGTGCCTAAGGCATTTGACTGCTAACCAGAAGGCCGGTGGTTCAAACCCACCAGCCACTTCTCAGAAGGAAGGTTGGGCAATCTGCTTCCACAGTGATGCTGTTGTTATGTGCCATCCTTGCAAACCCAAGGAGGGGTCGCTATGAGTCAGATCCAGCTCGACGGACGTGCACTGCATTGTGTTGCATTAAGTCTATATCATACCATTACCCTAAACATTAAAACAATATTGCTATGGTATGTTGAATATTGATTCCTTCATGATGTCCTTGTCCCAAATACCAGAATCTGTGAGTATGTTACCTTCTATGGCTTTGTGGATATGATTAAATTAAGGATTTTTGACACAGAAAGATTATCCTGGATAATCTGGATCCCACTTGTGATTACCTTAGACAAGTGATGTAGCCACAAATGGGACACAGAGTGAAGAAGGGAAGAAGGCAATGTGATGACTGAAGCAGAGATTGAAGTGGGGCAATTTGGAAATGCAGGAAGGGGCTACTATAAGCCAATGAACACTGACAGATGCTAGAGTGGAAAAAGGCAGGGAGATTCTCCCCACAAAGCCTCCAGAAGGAATCATCCTTGCTGACACTTTGACATTAGCCCAGTGAAACTCATTTCAGACTACCGACTTCCAATACTGTAAGAGAATGCATCTGTGCTTTTGTAATCCACCAAACTTTGTGGTAATTTTTTACAGTGCTTAACAGGAAACTCATATAATAGCCTTAGAGGAAAATGTAGTTGCAAGTTTGTTGAAGTCAGATAGTATCATACTATCTTTTCACTTATATCTCCATAAATTCAACTTTGACACAATAAAATCAATCTTGTATTTCTAAGTTATTTTCCTACCTATCCCTAACAGCATACTTCTAAATTTTCTATAAATGTTCATCCAAGATGACCAGATGTATCAAGGCAACATATCCAAAAAATACTTACCTACTTAATTTCTTTAGGATGTGCTGGAAGATGTTAAATAAACTTGAAATCCTATTAAATAAAAGAAATTCACATAAAATTAAAGCATATAAAACTTATTACTAACAATTATAATTCCTCAAGAAGAGAACTGTCTTCAATAACAAAAGGAAACAAAAGAAGAGATAATGTAAAACTCTGAATATCAAAATTTATTTCTATTTGGATTAAAGTAAAATATTTACTTCTTTGCCATTTCCTAATTTCTCTTCATAATCATAAAGTAATTGGCTTTGTGTCAGAGAACTTGTAAAGAGGTCACTATTTTATGTTCAAATCATATTCTTTTAAAAACGTTCAACAGAACTCATCTGCAGAAGAGTATGCCTTTTACAAATGGTGGTGAATTAGCTTTGTAGAAACTGACGAGTACTCTAAATCTCTGCTGCCAGAGAAGCCACTGACTGGGGATCAGAGAGCCAAAGAAAACTGAAATTAGGGTATTAATCTAAATATTTCATTAGTATTCTAAAATTACTCCCTTTATTATTTCTTTTTTTTGCAAACTGGGAGAAGAGAGTAGGTGATAAGTAGGTTATGCAAAAGCTTTTCTATACACATATATAAAGAAACGTTACCTCTCAAGAGAAGCAGTCCTTATAATGGAAGTAGACATACGCAAGTACAAACAGAGAGTTCAAGTTTAAATCTGAGCCTTTTAAAAAAAGTGTGTCAAGCTCTAAGACTGGAGTTAAATAGCTAAAATAAGTCAGAATGATTTCTCATCCTAAGTGGTGAACCAAATATATTAACTACTAAGACTGCCACACTAGTTCAACTGTGTGCTCTGGGGCAAGTCATTCTACATACCGATTTCCTCATGGAAATGGAGACTATATCACCACTGGGAGCTATGGTAGCATAGTGCCTAAGGCACTTGACTGCTAACCAGAAGGCTGGCGGTTCAAACCCACCAGCCACTCCTCGGAAGCAAGGTTGGGCAACCCTACTTCCGTAGTGATACTGCCTTGCAAACCCAAGGAGGGCTCGCTCTGAGTTGGGTCCGACTTGATGGCACATAATAACAACAACAACAACAACAACAACATACCACCACTAGCCATTTCTAGCAATTTGTGAGATTTAAATGAGATAAAAATGTTTAAGAGTTATTTTCCTTTGCATTTAGGCGCTTAAAAAGTTCTGAGTGCAGTAACACTAAGGAAAAGGAAGATACAGAGAGATGTACAAAAGGTATAGTCAACAAAGGTTGTATTATCAGTAATAACAAACATTAATCTGGGGGGGCATAGGCAGACAGGCTAAATGATCAAGTATGGGTAGGCAAAAGAGAATATATATAGAAGTCTGGCTGATAGTATTTCTACATACCTATTTGCATGTGCTATAAGAATGTCCATATACCTAACAGAGTTAACAGGGGAAAGCTATGATAACTTCTTAGCCATCGCCAAACAGCTTGAGGGAGTGAATCGCTGGACCTGTGGGTTCAGCACTATGATTGTGGGGGACATCCAGCTCAAGTAGCATAATATATTACACAAAAACATTGTTCTACATCCTATTTTGGTAAATAGTGACTGGGGTCTTAAGAATCTTGGGAGTGGCCATCTAAGATGCAACAATTGGTCGCTCCTTGTCTGGAGTAAAGAAGAATGAAGAAAATTAAAGACACATGGAAACAATTAGTCCATGGGACTAATGGACGATGGGAACCTCAGCCTATATGACCCTGAGATCAAAAGAACTACATGGTACCCAGCTACAAATGCCAACCACTTAGAAAGGGATCAATATTGGAGATCCTGGATAGAGTGGGAGAAAAATGTGGGAAAAAACTCAAAATCATAAAAAAGACCAGGCTTACTCACCTGAAGTGATTGATGAAACCCCTAAGACTATGTATGGACCCTAGTCACTCTTTAGGCCTGGAACTGAACTCACTCCTGTGACTTCAAACCAATCAATCAAACAAAACCAAATTTACTGCCACTGAGCCGATTCCAACTCAAAGCGACCCCCCACTGTGTTTCTGAGGTGGTAAATCTTTACAGAAGTAGACCTCCCTGTCTTCCCTCTGCAGAGTGTGTTTGAACTGCCAATCTTCTGGTTAGCAGTCAAATGCCTTAGGCACTACGTCACCAGAGCTCCTTAACCAAACTATAGGCCAATAAAATGAACAATTACACCAGGTAGGTATACCCCATAGAACAATCAACCACAGGAAATCAGAAGGCCAGCATTTGCATAGGGAGACAACTCAGAGGGCAGGGATGCATAGGAAAGAAGGACAAGGGAATAGGTAACCACAGTGAAAAAGTGGAAAGAGAGCTGTTATACTTGGGGTGGGGGGTGTTCTGGGTCCAATAAATTCATTTCAGTCTTGATGTATGCTTGGTAAAAGGACAAACTTTTAGATGTTAGGATATCCAAATCATCTACATAATCCTGAGAGTTAAGAGAGAATGACTGTTCTATCCTTTCCCTTCCCAGCAAAGAGGTATGCTTCCCACATACTTCCTAGATGGTGGGTCACTCTCTTGTTCTATCCTCCATTGTCTTAAGTAGAAAGACTGGTACTACTGGCACTACATTTAACTTAGAGATGGAGATGATTAATATGGATCACATATTGAGTTAGGGGAAGCCTTAATGTATAAAAGGATTGAAAGTCTTGAGAACAAATTATTTAAACTTAACCAATATTTACAGATAAAAGAAAAATAATGATCATATTAATAAGCTTATCTATTCCCACCACAAAGTAAACTTTCTTACTTGAGAGCTGATAGCTTTTCTTTTAATTCCTCTGAGGTAATTTCTTCAAGCAGGAAAAGTTTTGAAGTAAATGCATCAATATGCCCTAAAATGAAATATCAAACTTAAAAAGAAGTAATTGGAGTATGGGCAAAAAAAAAAAAAAAACAAGTTATTCAATCACCTTAAAGATGTTTTCACAAAATTTTAATGACTTGAAAGGATCTTTAGATATATTCTAAAAAGACACAAAGCTGTATTTAAAAGTACATAAACATTAATATTCTAAAAGAAATATTTATTCATTCTAAGATATCTGCTAAATCTAGAAACTCTACACATGTCCACAAACTTCCTATGTCCAAAATTTAAGAATAATAACTATTAAAATATTGACATTTCTAATTCCAATTAAAGTTATATTTCTATGCAAATTTCTTAGATAAAAATGTTCCTATTACCAAAACAAGCAGATAAAGGCAAATTTTTAGTCTGTGCATACTCTGTACATAGCAGTATATTTTTTTTTAATTGTGATTTGGGTGAAAATTTACAGAGCAAATTCACTTTCCATGTATCAGTTCACATACACTTTGTCTCATGACATTGACCACAATTCACCACAACGCAACAGCTCCCCTTCCACTTCCTCCTGACAGTTATCTCTTCCCTGTGTCCATCCCTCCATGCTCCCCTACCCCTGAGCTGTCTGTGCACAAACAGCCCTTCTTTCTTCCATGATTGTTCTCTCCAAGAAGTGTATTTACCTCAGGTAAATGTTCAACTCCTATGCCTACCTTTTGCTTGGCTGGAAGTCACAAGTGTGGGTTCAATTCCAGACATGAAGGACGGCTAGGGGCCATACTCTCAGTGCTTCCACCAGGCTTTATCAGACCAGCCAACCTGGTCCCCCCTCCCTTTTTTTTCCCCCAAATGGTTTTGAGTTTTGTTCCACATTGTTTTCCCTCTCTATCCAGGGTCTCCTACATAGATCCCCCTCCAAGTGGTTGACATTGGTAGCTGGGCACCACCTAGTTCTTCTGGTCTCATAGTCATATAGGCTAAGGATCACATGGTGTACCAGTCGCTAGGACTAATTGTTTCTATGAATCTTTGGTTTTCTTCATTCTTCTTTGCTTTGGACAAGGAGAGACCCATCATTGCATGTAGATGGCTGCTTGCAGGCTTTTAGGATCCTAGTTGCTACTCGCCAAAGTAGGAGGTGGAACAATGTTTTGTGTAGTATGTTATGCCAATTGAGCTTGATATCCCCTGTGAGTATGGTCCCGAGCCCACAGGTTCAACTACTCGGTCCCTCTGGGTAGCTGGCTGTGACCAAGAAGTGACTACAACCTTGTCCCTTGTTAGCTCTACTATATACCTGGGAATTCAGATCATACAAATACACTTATAGGACCATTGTCTGCAAACCCTATACATGGTCTTGAGTATACTCCCCACTTCATAGACATACCTAATAGTTCAGCCTGTCTACCCATCTACCCATGTTTGCCTTCACTGACAATGCAGTACTGTATGTGCAAAAGGGTTCATCTTTGTTGTCTGTACCTTCGTATGCCTTCCTCTTCCTCAGTGCCACCATGTTGATAGCTCACATTTGGTACATTGCCCTTCTCTTCACCCGGATCACTACTTATCTCTAACTAACTAACAGCATAGCTCTGTTTCTTAAGGAAAAAAAAATGATTATAAAATTTCATCTATTATTTTTAATTAAAGTACTCCATAGGATTTCCTATAGCTTAAAAAAAAAGTCTTACTTTATTACAAACATGAGATGTTTCTGGAATTCTAAAAGACAAAATAGCCACTTTTAAGAAGATACAAGTAATGCGTATATTCTAAAACATAACAGGTTGAGACAACACTGAGGCTTTGAAATATACCAAAGAAGAGTACTATAAAAGAGTCCTGAGTTAAATGTTATATAATCAGGTCAACACAAAACCATGTTACCATACCATAGTTAAAAATATCAATTAACATAAGAGTGTAACTTTTCACTAATGCTAAAAACAATACTGCTTTTTGTTTTTGTTTTTTAACTCCCAATACTTAATTATCAAAACAAATTACTTGGATGTGAATCATTAGGACAACAAAAAAATGCATATAATCTAACACCTCATTTTCGTATTTAACCAAACCAAATCAAACCAAACTCACTGCCATGGAGTCGGATCCGACTCTTAGTGACCCCTCCTTGGGTTTCCATGGCAATAACACTACAGAAGTAGATTGCCCAACCTTCCTTCCAAGGAGTGGCTGGTGGGTTTGAACCACCAGCCTTCTGCTTAGCAGCCAAATTGCCTTAGGCACTATGCTACCCCCTTTTATTTCATTTGTATTGTGCCCAAAAATTGACATTTTTACAAGATACGCTCCTTCTAAGACAACAAATCCACACTTATTTGTTTCCTATACCAAGTTTTTGTTTCACCTCTGCATTTCTAACACTCAGGATACACTGACATTTCTCATAACTATAACACATTTTAATAGTTTAATACATGTAGAAAGGGGATACAGATTGAAAAACTATGGAGAGAGGATACACTCCTGATGCATTATCCCCTTGTTCTGCTTAAATGACTGCCTCTTGGTCCATGTATAGGTTCCTTATGAGCGCAACTAAGTGTTCAGGAATTCCCATTCTTCGTAATGTTATCCATATGTCTAGTCAATAAAACATACGTAAACATCTTTCTGGTATTCTTCGCTTTTAGCCAAGATCCATCTGACATCAGCAATAATATTCCTTATTCCATGCCCTCTTCTGAATGTGACTTGAATTTCTGGTAGTACCCTGTCAATGTATGCGATCCCATATAAATAGTTCTTAAGAGTACAATGGTCAAGGCAGACATTCTTTCCTAGTTAAGTGAGACTATTATATAGTTTTAAGAATACCCCAGAAGATCTTTTTGGTTTAAGGTTTAAAGATTATATCAGGGCAATAGGTTGAGGGGTTCACCCAGCTTCCATGGCTCCAGAAAATCGGGATTCTGTAGTAATTTGAAATTCCACTCTCCATTTTCTCCCTTTTGGTCGGGATTCTTGTGCATCTGTCATTTATGTAGTGATCTGTGACTTGAGAGCCAGAAGTGAAGTCTGTACTTTATGCAATTTCTCACAATTAATACATCATGGTAACTGTAATTTGTGCATATCAGAGTGTACAAATGAGGACTGCTGTATTATCAACAATAAATAAGTATATATAAGATTGGAGGATATACAGAGAAATTGTAATAGGACTACTTTGGAAATTTTCTTAGAAAAGTAAATCTTAATGTTTTTATGGGGCAAGAGGATAAATGGAGTACCGGATCTAGAAGAAAAACATGTGCACGGTAAACAAAAGCGGAAACAAAAAAAAAGTATGCTTACTCTACTTGAGCTACAGGAGTGGTTCTCAAAGTATGGTCCCTGGACCAGCAGTATCAGTATCATTTGAAAACAGGCTAGAAATGCAAAGTCCTAGGTCCTAATCCAGACCAACAGAATCAGACACTCAAGGGTCAACAATCATTACTTTAAAAATTGTGCAAGTGAATCTGATGTACATCAAAGTTCAAGAATCGCTGAACAAGAGTCCTGTAAATCAAGATGCAATTCAGGTAAAGGAAAATATTTTCTGTTTATTGCACTTTTACGTCACTTGGATCTCATGAGATTTATGCCTTATCTGAATCTCTCAATTATGCAGGAAATTTCTACTCTCGCTGTTATCTTTTTTTTTTTTCCTCTTTCCTTTTTTAAAAAATTATTTATTTATTTATTTTTAAAATTGTGATTTGGGTGAAGATTTACAGAGAAAATTCACTTTCCATACAGTAGTTCACATATACTTTGTCTCATCACGTTGACCACAGTTTACCACAATGCAACAGCTCCCCTCCCACTTCCTTCCCATAGTTACCTCTTCCCTGTGTCCATCCCTCCATGCACTCTTGCCCCCTGAGCTGTCTCCCTGTGCATAGGGAGTCCTTCTTTCTCAATGATTGTTCTCTCCAAGGAGTATATGTACCTCAGGTAAATGTTCAACTCATATGCCTGTCTTTTGTTTGGCTGGAAACCACAGATGTGGGTTCAATTCCAGACCTGAAGGGCAGCTAGGGGCCATAGTCTCAGTGGTCCTCCCCCACTTATTATTTTCTCCAAATGATTTTGAGTTTTGGTCCACATTGTTCTCCCTCTCTATCAAGAATCTCCTACATAGATCCCCTTAAAAGTAGATGGCAGTGTTAGCCAGGCACCATCTAGTTCTTCTGGTTTCATAGTCGTATAGGCTACAGATTGGATGGTGTACCAGTCGCTAGGACTAATTGTTTCCATGAATTTTGGTTTTCTTCATTCTTCTTTGCTCTTGACGAGGATAGACCTATCGTTGCATCTAGATGGCAGCTTGCTAGCTTTTAAGATCCCAGTCGCTACTAGCCAAAGTAGGAGGTGGAACAATGCTTTGTATAGTATGTTATGCCAATTGAGCTTGATGTCCCCTGCGACTATGGTCCCAAGCCCCCAGGTTCAACTACTCGGTCCCTCTGGGCAGCTGGCTGTGACCACGCAGTGACCACAACCTTCCCCTTGTCAACTCTACTATGCACCTGGGAATTCTGATCATTCACATGAACTTATAGGACCATTGTCTGCCAACTCTGTATGTGTTCTTGGATACACTCCCCATTTCATAGACATACCTAATCGTTCAGCCTGTCCACCCATATACCCATGCTTGCCTTCACTGACAATGCAGTACTGTATGTGCAAAAGGGTTCATATTTATTGTCTGCACCTTCCATGCACCTCTCTCTGTCTTTCTCATCCTCAATGCTGCCATATTGGTCACTCACATTTGGTACACTGCCCTTCTCTTCACCCAAATCAATACTTATCTCTATCTATCTAACAGCCTTCCCTCCCCTCCCCTCCCACCCATGGTAATCAACAAAGAAAATGTCCTTCTATAGATAAACCTTTCATTAACTTTTATAATAACAGACTAATACAATATCTTTCCTTTTGTGATTGATTTATCTCACTCAGCCTAATGTCCTCCAAGTTCATCCACGTTATGCTGTG